AGCTGTGAGGCTATAAGTTATTTACTTTTGTGTGTTTTTGTCAGGCAGAAATTTATTTATACCCCCTTAGAGTGTAAGAGGTTAAGAAAAAGGTTTGACTTTTTCTGATTTTTGTTTAATGGAAAGTTCTGATAAAAGCATAAAACCAAAATCCTGTAGAACATCCTGTTTATGATGATCAATATCGGATCAGTGCTAAGCTGACTAATTGTAAAACATGGTTTTATGTTAAGAGTGACAATTGTTTTTAAGGGAAACATTTGATGTTTTTTAAGAGGAACTGTAAATAACATTTGGCTTTAAATGCAATCTTGCACAAAAGGCTCTAATAATGCTTTTTTTTTTCATTCAATACATTTTAATTTTGCTCCAACAGAAAACATTGAGAATATACTAAAAAATATATTATTTTCTTCTACATAGATGCCATTTTTTAAAAGAAGTTTACTGTTTATTATAATTTAAACATTCTTTATTTAAAACATCAAAACCGTTTGAGTCGTTTCCCTCAGGGTGGCGCTGTTACAGCACCTGAGGATATGGTTAGACTATTCAAAAAGTAACTTCTGTTCTTCAGTTTAGAATAAAATAGAATAAAAGTGTTTACTCTATTGTGATAAAGGTATGTGGCAGCTTGAAACAAAAATGCACTACTGGCATTTGTGAGAGATCTGCTGCTTCCGTTTCCCTCCAAGGCCTCTTTCATTGTGGTGAAAAGGTGTGAAAGCGCTTTTTTCAGGCTCTTCATCTGAATTGGATGCCTTATGGTAAAGACTTCAACATATAAGTCTTTTAATAGCCACGGAAATTGCTGTGCTTTCCATCCCCATAGAGCCGTGTTTTGCAGAAGCGGTGCATTTCTTTTATTTCCTCTGATTACTTTGCAGGTTTTATGCAAAATACTTTTTAGCAACAATGTAAACCTACTTCCCTCACCAGCTTTATTATCTAAATGCCTAAACGCCTGTTCATATCTATATAAAATTATATACGTTATAAAAGTAAAAAAGGTTTAGGATTTCCATCCTTTTACATCAGAATATTATCAAACTGTGGCAATGAAAGATTTACTTATAAACGTATAATTTCTTTCCACTTTACAATTAGACTTCTTTAAGTTGGGCTGTGATATAAAACCTACATGAAATGTTTGGCTGCGATGTGACATGATGTCAAACTTGAGGGGAATAAATACTTTAGAAAACAACTCTATTTCAGAATAAGAGCCACACACTACATTAATAACAAGCTCAAGTGGGTGACAATCGAAATGAAACCTTCAAGTTGGATATCGCTGCATAAGCACTTCAGTGACCCTCTCTATGATGCACAGACAATAAGGTAAAGTGTACAGTACTGTCGATTGTAGCTTAGTAAAAGGAACAAGCAGGAAGTCGATGAGAAACAAACCAAATTTGTGGTGGGCTTGCACATGGCTGACATGTCAAATGAGTTCCTGTGGCCACAGATGACCCATTTCTACTAAATGGGCCTTTATAAATAGATCAGATATTTTTTCCACTGCTCCAGTCCAACTTGTCCAAACATAAGTCAAAAACACCCCACAGATGATTTCGACACTATCATCCAATCATTCTGCTCTGTATTGCCATTAACAGCCAATCAGAACCCTTTAAAAGCAATGAATCAAATAACTGTGCTCTGAATAACAGCAATAAATTAGACTTGATCCGTATTACTTCAAAGCACATTGTTCTCTCGCTTAAATCAGCTGTAATGAACAGAAATGCCTTTCATCCAAAGAAAAATGTCATCAAATGCTTTCTTGCAGGCACCAGCAGTTAGCTTAATAATGAATGAATAAATAAATAAATGAACCCTAATGTTTTATTTGATAGTATATAAAAGTGTACTTTAAAATGAAAGTCCGGATGATAGAAAAAAAATGGTGTATAATATTGGCTTAATGGCAGTTGCAAAGGACTTTGCTAATTGTTTAACTTGATTTCCCGTGATGGACTGACACCCATCCAGGATGGGCCTTGGAGACAAGTACCAGCCCCCTCTAACAATGATAGGATAAACAAGAACAGACCCTTGATGTACAATCTCATAGCTGCTACTTTGGTTGCATATTCAGAGGATTCAGGGGTTAGGGTCAAAGCAAAAAATGTCCAAGGTAAAAGTACAACATCCTCAAAGACAGTGATGCTTTTGGACACTTATCTATAGGAAAAAGGTAAGGGTTTGGCCTCTTTATGTAAGGTTCTCCATCTTCATGCTTGTATCTGCACAACTGCAAAGGACTTTTCAAATCCAGTATTTGGTAGACTCTATTTTTATTATGTGCCAGTTCGGATTTCCAACAATATATTGGGCCACTTTGATAGACTTTCACTGTTTTCAACGAATAAGATCTCGGTGACAGAGAAAGTTTAAGAAGAGAGGAGTATGTGGGCATAGTGGCCTGCTGAGTGTTTCGGGGACAAAACTAATTCAAAACATTGCAATGTCTTGTCTCTCCCTTATCATACCTCCAAAGTATAACCCGATAAGTAGAAGTCTTAGGCCATGGTGTTAGATTCAAGAGGTGGAACCTCTATTTAGGTGTCTCCCTCCCTCAAGATGAGGTCAGGAATCTTGGAGCCTTGTTCTTGGGCAATGTTTTAGCTACTGGTCTTTCATGTTGATTTATCTACCTTCAATCCCTCACACACAGGCTTAAAATAAAGATCACAACCAAAACACCAAGATTACAGACACATGAAGGTAGAGTAGGGCTGTCCAAAGTTGGTCTTCCAGGGCTGCTGTCCTGCAAGTTTTAGAAGTTTCCCTGCTTTAGCACAGCTGATTTCCATTGATTGTCCTACAGGACAGCAGCTGTCGAGGGCAAACTTTGGACGGCAGAATAGGTTTCCTCTGTATGGTGGCTGTACTAAAACTCAGAGAAATTATGAGAAGCTCTGCATCTGCGTTCAGCTGAACTGGCCTTCAATTACAATAAAGCCATTATGATCAGTTTTAAACAGCCACTTTTGAAGATTATATCTGCAGCACATGCAGGGTGGTTTACCAGCTCTTACAGCTTCATATTATGAGGATACTGAGATAATGGTTGCCTTCATG